AATAAACCCCAAATCCCCCCAAAAATCCCAAAAATAAACCCCCAATCCCCAAAAATAAACCCCAAATCCCCAAAAATAAACCCCAAAACCCCCCCCAAAAACCCAAAAAAAAACACCCCAACCACCAACAAACCCCCCAAACCCCCCCCCCCCCCCCCCAACCCCCCCCCCCCCCCCCCCCCCCCCCCCCCCCACCCCCCCACCCCCCCCCTTTTCCCCCCCCCGGGCTAATTCCCGAATTTTCCCCTCCGCAGGCTCCCCGTGGCAGTGGCGCTCCCGGGACGGGGCGGTGGCTCTGCCGGAATTCCCGGAACGCCAGCGGGATCTGACGGAGCCCTTTGACCTCTGCCTGACGGGGGAGGGGCTGGAACGGCTCCGGCTCCGGCACCGGGAGCGGCTCCTGCGCCTCATCCCCCACATCCGAGTCTTTGCCAGGGTCGTGCCCAAGCAGAAGGTGGGGGATTCCCAGGGAATTCCCAGAATTTGGGATCTCCTGGGATGGGGATTCCGGTGGGGGGGGGGGGAGCCGGAACGAGCCCGAGCCTTTTCCGGCTCGGAATTCCCAAAATCCCGAGCTCTTGGAATCCAGGGATGAAGCTCAGGGTGTCCCCTGAACGATCCTGATCCCATTCCAGCTCGGAATTCCCAGAATTTGGGATCTCTTGGAATCCAGGGATGAGGCTCAGGGTGTCCCCTGAACAATCCTGATCCCATTCCAGCTGGGAATTCCCAGAATTTGGGATCTCTTGGAATATAGGGATGAAGCTCAGGGTGTCCCCTGAACGATCCTGATCCCATTCCAGCTCGGAATTCCCAGAATTTGGGATCTCTTGGAATCCAGGGATGAGGCTCAGGGTGTCCCCTGAACGACCCCGATCCCATTCCAGCTCCGAATTCCCAGAATTTGGGATCTCTTGGAATCCAGGGATGAGGCTCAGGGTGTCCCCTGAACGATCCTGATCCCATTCCAGCTGGGAATTCCCAGAATTTGGGATCTCTTGGAATCCAGGGATGAAGCTCAGGGTGTTATCCTGAACGATCCTGATCCCATTCCAGCTCGGAATTCCCAAAATCCCGAGCTCTTGGAATTCAGGGATGAGGCTCAGGGTGTCCCCTGAACAATCCCGATCCCATTCCAGCTCGGAATTCCCAAAATTTGGGATCTCTTGGAATCCAGGGATGAAGCTCAGGGTGTCCCCTGAACGACCCCGATCCCATTCCAGCTCCGAATTCCCAGAATTTGGGATCTCTTGGAATCCAGGGATGAAGCTCAGGGTGTCCCTGTTGTTATCCTGAAGATTCCAGCTCGGAATTCCCAGAATTTGGGATCTCTTGGAATCCAGGGATGAAGCTCAGGGTGTCCCCTGAACGATCCTGATCCCATTCCAGCTCAGAATTCCCAGAATTTGGGATCTCTTGGAATCCAGGGATGAGGCTCAGGATGTCCCCTGAACAATCCTGATCCCATTCCAGATCGGAATTCCCAGAATTTGGGATCTCTTGGAATCCAGGGATGAAGCTCAGGGTGTCTCCTGAACAATCCTGATCCCATTCCAGCTGGGAATTCCCAGAATTTGGGATCTCTTGGAATATAGGGATGAGGCTCAGGATGTCCCCTGAACAATCCCGAGCCTTTTCCAGCTCGGAATTCCCAAAATCCCGAGCTCTTGGAATCCAGGGATGAAGCTCAAGGTGTCCCTATTTTTATCCTAAAGAGTCCTGATCCCATTCCAGCTCGGAATTCCCAGAATTTGGGATCTCTTGGAATCCAGGGATGAAGCTCAGGGTGTCCCCTGAACGATCCTGAGCCTTTTCCAGCTGGGAATTCCCAGAATTTGGGAGGTCTTGGAATCCAGGGATGAGGCTCAGGGTGTCCCCTGAACGATCCTGATCCCATTCCAGCTCGGAATTCCCAGAATTTGGGAGCTCTTGGAATCCAGGGATGATGTTCAAGATGTCCCTATTGTTGTCCTGAACAATCCTGACCCTATTCCAGCTCGGAATTCCCAAGGTTTGGAATCTGGGAATGAGGTTCAGGGTGCCCATGTTGTTGTCCTGAACGATCCCGAGCCTTTTCCAGCTCGGAATTCCCAAAATTCAGAGCTCTTGGAGTCTGGGATAAAGCTCAGGGTATCCCCCCCCCAATCCCAAACCGTTTCCAGCTCGGAATTCCCAGAATTTGGGATCTCTTGGAATCCAGGGATGAAGCTCAGGGTGTCCCCTGAACGATCCTGATCCCATTCCAGCTGGGAATTCCCAGAATTTGGGATCTCTTGGAATCCAGGGATGAAGCTCAGGGTGTCCCCTGAACGATCCCGAGCCTTTTCCAGCTCGGAATTCCCAGAATTTGGGAGCTCTTGGAATCCAGGGATGATGTTCAAGATGTCCCTATTGTTGTCCTGAACAATCCTGACCCTATTCCAGCTCGGAATTCCCAAGGTTTGGAATCTGGGAATGAGGTTCAGGGTGTCCCTGTTGTTATCCTGAAGATCCCTAATCCCATTCCAGCTCGGAATTCCCAAAATCCCGAGCTCTTGGAATCCAGGGATGAAGCTCAGGGTGTCCCCTGAACGATCCTGATCCCATTCCAGCTCGGAATTCCCAGAATTTGGGATCTCTTGGAATATAGGGATGAGGCTCAGGATGTCCCCTGAACAATCCTGATCCCATTCCAGCTCAGAATTCCCAGAATTTGGGATCTCTTGGAATCCGGGATGAGGCTCAGGGTGTTATCCTGAACAATCCCGATCCCATTCCAGATGGGAATTCCCAGAATTTGGGATCTCTTGGAATCCGGGATGAGGCTCGGGGTGTCCCCTGAACGATCCTGATCCCATTCCAGCTCGGAATTCCCAGAATTTGGGATCTCTTGGAATCCAGGGATGAGGCTCAGGGTATCCCCTGAACAATCCTGATCCCATTCCAGCTGGGAATTCCCAGAATTTGGGAT